TCATTTTTGAAAGCAAGAGAAAGAGTGGGGGTGGGGGAGGTGGACACAGAATCCAAAGCAGGGTCTAGGCTCTGAGCTGTCAGCACAGAGCCTGATGCAGGGCTTAAACCCACAAATAGATCATGACCTAAGGCAAACACTTCACTGAGCCACCCAGGCGCCCCTTTTTGAGAGAAAGAGCACAAGCAGGGGAGGGGCAGAGAGGGAGACACAAGTATTCAAAGCAGGCTCCAGGCTCTGAGCTGTCAGCACAACCTGTCCCAGGGCTTGAACTCCCTAACTGCAAGATCATAACCTGAGCGAGCCAAAGTCAGATAGTCAACTGACTGAGCTACCCAGGCGCCCTGAACACAGATTTTTAAAGGAGGAAACCAGATAATATTACCAGATAAGTGCAAAGGGAGTCTTATGCTGGAAGGTGATTGCACTCCATGGCAAAACTATGCCAACAAGTTTTTAAAGGGTATCTCTGACCTTAATCTAGAGAGAAGATAGGAAGGATGTCAGCATCCTTCACAATCAGTGAGGATATCCTCAGGGATTCCAGGAAGTCAGACAAGTCCTAATCTGTCCTTTCATACAGAAGAGCCAGTAATAGCAATAAAACAGTAAATCATCTATCTCATTTTTAATCTTCCCTAAATATCTTGTAGGACTAGGTATGACTACTCTGAGGTTTCACTACCTTTAACAATAAGGTGAGCAAGTGCATGCTGACTGAACTTTAGCTTCCATGATACATTTCTGTAAAAACTGCTCTTGTGGCCAACTATTAAATGTTGGTGTTCTCCAGTTTTACTATTCACCTTCCAACTATTAACCCTTTAAATATAGCTTTACTCTGATATGTTTAAATACTATTTATGATAGTTACAATCTATATAATTCCAGTCTCTTGCCTGAACTCAGTACCTATGTTTCAGACTGCTTTTATCTTATCCCAATATAGTTCAAACTTCATGTGTCCAAAACTATTCATCCTACCATCTCCAGACTGAATTCTCTGTAGTATCATCTAGTTAGTTTCTCTGGTAATCTTAATGTTGGGCTGGGCTTCTCAGTAACCACCTGCCCATAAACAGCCTATTACCCAGTTTGGTTAAAAGTTGGGTCCATTTTTATCCCTGGATCCCAACTTAATGCCCTATTCCTTTCTTCTTCATTCTCTCTGATACCAGATTTCTTTAAAAACAGAAGCTTTTTATTATTCTGTCCTAAAATGATTACTAACATTGTTCCCGAATCATAGTCCCTGCAAGGTTAAAAAGACCCAGTACCAACTAGCCACTACTTTTACAACTTTATTCTATTACCCATTATTCTATGAACCATGCCTTTGAACAAATTTTCCATTCCCCAGACACATTTTCACAACCTTTATGTAAAGGCTGTAAACGGACTCCCGTCTCCAATCTGGAATGTTTCCCCTCTTTAACTGCAAGTTCTAGTTAACCACACTTTGCTTAAATGCCATTTTCTCAGCCCTGTGAAACTTCTAGGAATACTGAGTCCATCCTGTTTGACCCTACAACATTAAATATACAACTCCTATTTTAGCACTTAAGTTATAATTATTTTCATACATCTCATTAGGCTGAACTTTTTGAAGGCATAATTATATTCACTTACATGAACCCAAGACTGAACACCAGGCCCAGCATAGATGTTAGCAATAGCATTTGCCTCTAGCAGTGACCGTAAACCTTAAGGTTTAGTGTGCATCGCACAGAGTTCAAATGCAAATCAGCTTTACTGATGAATACCTGATGTTCCACAGCATCTCCATTTGTTTAAAATAGCTTATGATTTCCTTCCAAACTCTATTCCCATATTACTTTTGTTCGTGTATACCCACTTCAGTTCATTCTTCCCTCTCCTCATCTCTACCACCATCCCCGAGTCTTCTCAAGTTTCATATCCTACACATTTATCTATTTTCTCTACTTGACTTCTAGTTCAAGTTCCTCATCAGGCCTCTGACCACCCTGTACAAAAAGTAGTATCCTACTTTGTTAATTTCCATAGCTCTTACTTACTACTCAGTAATTGTTTTCCATCCTCCCTACCTGTTAGATTCTAAACACTACTGAGCAAGGACTGCAGGTTTATTCAGTGTACTCCCAGTATCCAGAACAGTTCCTGGAACATAATAGCCATTCAAATAATTTTTTAATGCATGAATCTAAAACCATCTTTAGCTTCACTATGATCTAGGTATAAAGATGCCTATTTGATAATATCTCCATGTTTTAAAGATTCCTTCAATGAACAATAAAACAAAGTTCCTTAACATTTAAGACCTTCCATGACCATCTTGCCTGCGTTTGCATCTTCATCATTATCTTTGTTGTTCCTATACTGTTTGCTTTAATAATAATGAATTGCTTACAGTGCAAAGAATTTGCACATAATTTTTTCATTCTTTTAATTCAGTCTCCCCTGAAGGCCCTCCCAACTTCCCACACCTACCTTATTGAATATTTAATGGAAATTCACTGTTAGAAGAACATAAATGCTGTTAAGTATTATAAAATGGCAATTCTGGCAGAAAAAAATTTCCAGATCCTACTTAAAGCAGTACTCATAGTCATGGAACTAGATCTTATGCTGGAAGGAACATTACAGGTTATTTAGTAATTGCCTCTTTTTTAACATATGGAGGTACTTCTAATTCATGTCATCTCAATTCTTTTTTTTTTTATAAATTTTTTTTTCAACGTTTATTTATTTTTGGGACAGAGAGAGACAGAGCATGAACGGGGGAGGGGCAGAGAGAGAGGGAGACACAGAATCAGAAACAGGCTCCAGGCTCCGAGCCATCAGCCCAGAGCCTGACGTGGGGCTCGAACTCACGGACCGCGAGATCGTGACCTGGCTGAAGTCGGATGCTTAACCGACTGCGCCACCCAGGCGCCCCCATGTCATCTCAATTCTAATTTAGGCTCTGCCACTGAATAATTGCATGACTTTGAGATCATTAGGCTTTATTTGTCTCATCTTTAAATACGAAAGTAAATATCTAGAATTTCTTTTAAGTTATATGTACACTGGTTCTACTGATTCAAACTAAAACTTCTGCCAGTAAATACATTTAAACTGTTATTTCCGGAGTGACCTACCTGATGTTCACAATAAGCGGCTTTAATTCTGATAACAGCCATTTTGAACAATGCTAGAGTGAGGAAATCTTTCAAAGTCTCTTGAGATCTTAATATGCTTTTGCTACTTAGTTCCCAGACAATATTGTATACATCTATGGTTAATTGTAAGTACCAAAACTTATTCAAAGTCCATGTTACATTTATACCATGACAGTTAAATACAAAATAGTATATACCTCATGAAAGTTTTCTGCTTCTCGCTCTTTAATTTCAAGGTCAATTGCTCTCCTTTTTGCTCGTTCTTCTTCTATCTTTTTCTGGATTTCTTTTTCAGACAGTTGTCCAATTTTTTCAAACTTGCTTTTTAAATTTTTAGCTTGAATAGAGCCACTTCTTTTCAATTTTATTAATTCTTCATATTCCCTACTCAGTTCAAATGTTTCATGTTCTTCCTCTTCCTTCAAAAAAGTTTTTATATATTAAATACCAGAGAATTAGTTTGTACAATAAACCATCCAAAAAACGTTCATTTCTTTTCTTTTGTTTATTTGTTTCTTTTTTTAGTGTTTATAATGTTGAGAGAGTGTGTGTGAACAGAGGGGCAGAAAGAGAGGGAGAGAGAGGATCCCAAGCAGGTTCTGTGCTGTCAGTGCAGAGCCCAACACAGGGCTCAAATTCAGGAACCATGAGATCATGACTGGAGCCAAAATTGAGTTGGATGCTCAACCAACTGAGGCACCTAGGCACTCCCAAAAAGTGTTAATTTCTTATTTGAGCCAAAAATAAAGTTTAAATAACTTCCTCCATAAACACAATGCCTAAATTTACTGATTAAAAGTAATGCATATGGGCATCTGGGTGGCTCAGTCGGTTAAACTCATCACACTCTTGATTTCAGTTCAGGTCATAGTCACAGTTTGTGAGTTCAAGCCCCATGTCGGGCTCTGCACTGACAGCACAGAGCATGCATGGGATTCTCTCTCTCAAAATAAACTTAAAAAAATGTAATGCTTCAAATTTAAGACTTTAGATAACATTTAAAATATTTCATTATGGGCGCCTGGATGGCTCAGTTATTAAGCATCTGACTTCAGCTTGGGTCATGATCTCATGGTTCATGTGTTCAAGTCCCACATCAGGTGACCTTAAGCCCCACTTCAGGTGAACATGAGCCCCGCTTTAGATAAAAACAGGAGATTTGCTTCAATGAGCCCTGCTTCTCTGTCTCTGTCTCTGTCTCTCTCTCTCTGCCCCTTGCTCATTTGTGCCTTCCCTCTCCAAAAACATAATAATGATAATATTTCATTACAGCTCAAAACATAATTTAACATTCCATTATAACTCTATTATAACTAGAATATGTATATCAGGATTAACTTTTACTAGGAACTATAGGAAAATTTTTGCTTAGGAGAAGATGAAGAACTGTAATTAAAAGAACATGACTGGGGGTAAGATCTAAGTTCTAGTTCTGACTTTGATACTGTATGGCCTTTGCCTGGTCACTTAACCCACTAGACATGATTTTTTCATCTCTGTATAGAGCCAGAGTATCCGAAAATTCCTCCTGTCTTTTTTTTGATGATAGTCTAATAAAGTTAAATATCACTTAATATTCAACTTAAGTGAATGAAGCCTTCCTAAAATACAGTCTGGCCAAATCCCTACATTTTGATACATATCACTTTTACTCTATTTTATATTCTGCCATGAAAGAAAAGGAGTCAAACCAAAATTGGGCTCCCAATTCTTTAGAGCATTTTTTTAAATTTTTTTTTTTTAATGTTTATTTATTTTTGAGACAGAGAGAGATAGAGCATGAACAGGGGAGGGTCAGAGAGGGAGACAAAGAATCTGAAACAGGCTCCGGGCTCCGAGCTGTCAGCACAGAGCCCGATGTGGGGCTCGAACCCACGGACCGCGAGATCATGACCTGGGCTGAAGTCGGACGCTCAACTGACTGAGCCACCCAGGCACCCCTCTTTAGAGCATTTTATCTTAAATACTTTTTACTCAAGTTTCCCTTGGCTTTTCACAATTTATTCCTAGTTCTTTGTATATTTCTTACGCTAAACCCTAATCTCACTATATGAAGTGGTTTAAAAAATTGCAGTTATTCCTGATATACTTTTCCTGGAGAAGACCTAAAGTCCTAGGTGTGGAGCGGGGGTAGTAGGGAAGGAAAATGAAGGAGGGGAAGGATGGGATCACAGTGGATGATGTGACGTGAGGCTTAATTTCTTGGTTCAACCAAAGGGATGAAAGAGAAAATTTATTCCTTTATACTACCCTCCACGTTTTGGTCTCTGAGGGTCCAAACTGACAACTCCTAAAATACCAGCAACCTAACAAATTTGTGATATACCTCATATTACAGTGGTTCCCAAGTCATTCTGGTCAAATGAACTAATTAGCTGCAGTGCAGATGATCGTGGAACTGGTGTGCTACTCGCTTGGAAACACTCAGACGTAGTAGGGTAAGTCACTCAGTAGCACCAAAATGTCAGTTACATACTGCCTTATGTTAATTAGAATCCATCTCAGTGTACTAAAATATAATTTACAAGTTTTTCTAAATGATTCATTTTCAGCTTCCTTTATAAAATAAATGCTATTACATTTAAAAAACTTTAAGCCTGGGTGGCTCAGTCGGTTAAGCATCCAACTTCAGCTCAGGTCATGCATGATCTTGCAGTTTGGGAGTTCCAGCCCTGCATCAGGCCCTGTGAGGATCATTCAGAACCTGGAGCCTGCTTCAGATTCTGTGTCTCCCTCTCTTTCTGCCCCTCCCCTGCTCATGCTCTGTTTCTGTCTCTCAAAAATAAATACACATTAAAAAAATTATAAAGAAAAGTAAAATATTTTAAGGCTAGACCTTGGAATATTTTTCTACAGCATATTCATGATACTTTATTATTACCTATATGTTTATATAGTATTTATAGTCTCTTGATTGGCTAGGGCAAGGAAGTAAATAACCCCACAGGCCCATTGTCTTAACCCATAACAAAGAAGGTAACTTCTAAGAGACTGCAATGTCTGCATAGGTCACAAGCTGGCAAGAAGTCCCCATCAAGTTGCCCACCAAACATGCCGTGTCATTGCCAGTCTTAGTCTGGGACAGCCACTGTTCATCTCACCCCAAGTCATGTTCATCCCCAATTCTCATGCTGCTGCCAGGAGCTTCCTCATCAGAAGCTGAGGGTGACAGTGGAATGCTGGCCCCCTCTTTTTCCCTCCCCTCTTCTGGCTACACAACTGGCCATCCAGATGCAGGGTGGCAGCTGTGGGAAGGAAAAGGTTAGGCAGGGCCTTAGAGCACCAGGAGGTAGAAAAAGGGCTTCTGAGAATGCACCATAGGGAGGCAGGGGACAGAAGAAGGTTTGAGTGAGCCAAAGCTCTTAAACTCTAGCACATACTCCATTGTCCAGTCAGCTTTCACTTACACACAAATTCAAAGACAAGATTATTAAAATCTTAATTTTTAAATTTTATTTTAATTAAATTTTTAAATTAAAAATCAAGATTGGCCAGGTGCCTAGCTGGCTCAGTCAGAAAAGCATGTTACTCTTGATCTTGGGGTCGTGAGTTCAAGCCCCATGATGGGTGTAGACATTGCTTAAATAAAACTTAAAAAAAAATTTTTTTTAATAAATAAAAATCAAGATTGGCAACCTTAGAGCATTAAATCTTATGCATGGCCTATTTGAGCATATAGGGCCCTGTGACAGCACAAGTTGCCTGCCCATGAAGCTGGCCCTGTACAGTCCTGTATTTATATACATATATATTTGTATATATCTTTAATTCATTTCAGTACTAGAGAAATCATACTAAAATATTTAACATCAAAGTCCTATCTTCTAATTTAGTAAAATAAAATTATTCAAAAACTTGCCACACTGATGTTCTAGTATCCATGGTACTCTTGTAATTTTATTTTGACTAATCAGTTTAATTCTGTTTGTTTCAAGAAAAATAAGCATAAATGAGTATATTAAACACTTTAGGAAACAATTCTCAATCATAATGTGACCGCACAATTGTGAGGTATTTAGGAAGAAATATTTACTTAAGGTAATCACTTGCAATCATTTGTTTTATTATTTTTTTAATGTTTATCCATTTTTGAGAGAGCACAAGCAGGGGAGGGGCAGAGAGAGAGGGGAACAGAGGATCCCAACATGGGGCTCAAATCCAAGAACCAAACCCACAAACCATGAGATCATGACCTGAGCTGAAGCTTGATGCTTAACTGACTGAGCCCCCCAGGTGCCCTGCATCATAAGTGATTTAAATTAGTAAGGAAGAAACAGAGTTCTATCAGGCTAGAAAGCGCACATAACTGTGCTGAAACTTGAACCAAGCGCCTCATAGTATGATGAGTGTCCTTTATGTGAATAATAATACTCAGAAAGTTATTGTAAGATACTATATGTAAACATTTGGAAGAAAAAAAATGGATATTTCCACATTTATAAACATTTGGAAGAAAAAAAAATGGATATTTCCTAAAATCTCACCTCTCCCATTTCTTGTCTCAGTTGTTCAAATTCCTGTTTTTCCATCTCTAGCTTATGCTTCCTTTCTTCCTCCGTTCGTCGTTTTTCTTCTTCCATTTTTTGTTTTAATAATTCTTCAAAATTAATTTCCAGTTTTCCCGGTGTAAGAGATTCTTGAGAAATTGTTTTATACATCTCTGGGAAGTCATCATCTACTACCTATTTAAAATAAGTCTCTTATTACTCTTTCCAAAATTACACATACTAAAAAGGGGAATTTTTTTTTGTAGAAACTGTGATTACTTGAGTAAAAAGGTTTCACCCTGAACTAAAAATTTGAAGACCTAAATCTCTTCAAAAGTATAAAACAATAAACAAGGTAAAAAATACTAGAAAATGTAAGGTGTTTTTGTGGCTACAGAGGAAACGGTGACCATCTGTTCTCCATTCCAACAAACACAAATCCTTTGACTTTGTATTATGAGTAATTCGAATTAGACATTAAGATTTTATAATACTGAGAACACTTTCTACGTGAAGTAAAATTAATTTCCATTTTGGTGATTAAAATGAGCATTTCGCAGCTAAATCATGGTTTTGTCTGAATGAATTAAATAACCCATCAGGATTCCTTCATAGTCAGGTAAAAATCACTCTTAAAAAAAATTTTTTTTTTCAACGTTTATTTATTTTTGGGACAGAGAGAGACAGAGCATGAACGGGGGAGGGGCAGAGAGAGAGGGAGACACAGAATCGGAAACAGGCTCCAGGCTCTGAGCCATCAGCCCAGAGCCTGACACGGGGCTCGAACTCACGGACTGCGAGATCGTGACCTGGCTGAAGTCGGACGCTTAACCGACTGCGCCACCCAGGCGCCCCTAAAAATCACTCTTAATGCTGTAATTTTATTGTATTTAATGCTAACAATAATAGTTAATACTTACTCAGAGCTGCCATGTAAAATTCTAAGCACTTTATATGGATGAGGAAACTGAGGCACTGAAAAGTAACTTGTCCAAAGTCAACACAAATATTAAGTGGCAAAGGTGGTATTCAAAACTTCAAAAGTCTAATAAAATTATAAATAATGATTTAGACTTTTTGTAATTTCATGAATTACATGTCTAATTGCCATTTATTTATGACCTTGGGCAAGTTACCTAGCCTCTGTGAGTTTCCCCATTTGTGATGACTTTTCATACAGTTGTCAGGAGAATCAAATAAAATTTGGAAACACTTAGCAGTATGCCTGACACCCAATGGTAAGCTCCCAATGGCAGTTTTATTATTACATTAGCATTCCCTGTAATAAAGGCAATCCCTAAATTGCAAATAGAAACTTTGCAATCCAAAGATTGCCCCAAATTTTTACTAATATATTAGTTAACTGAGCTATAATACAAAATTAAAATATGGCCCTGGATAAGAAAACAACATAAATAAAGGAATTAGTTTTTTCTTTCCTGATACATAAATATCTCTAGGAAACTAGAGTTTGGGTTTAATGCAGTTTTCTTTCCCTGCACTTTTTCCACTAGTGAATCCTGGCAGTTTCAGCCTAAAAATCTGACCCTCGGACTAGATCTCCTGATCTTTACAACTACTTCTTGTCTATCACTTCTGAACCTGTTTATTCTCCAAAAAATTAAGTGCCTTCACAAGGTTTATAGGGTTTCTGTGTAGAAATCATTTGTGAATCAAGGATTATCTTGTAATACATATAAGATAGTTTTAAGGGGCACCTGACTGACATCAGTTCAAGCCCCATGTTGGGGGGTAGAGTTTACTTAATAAAAAATTAATTTTTAAAAAAAGTTTTAATATATTCCGCAAACATTTATAGGCAATTTGTTACACTAGAATGCATTGTGCCACATGCCAGATGAACAGTCTCAGCCTCATGAGTGAGAAAGGCAGCTTTAAGCAAAAACAATACAGCTTTAGTGCTATGCCAGGGAAGTACTAAATGCTGTAAGAGTGTATAGAAGGAACATGTCTTTGGAACTTGTATTCTCAGGAAAGGCTTCCCAAAGGAAACAGAATATATGAAAAAGAATTAGAGCATAGGGAAAGGAAAGAGGGACATGTTTCATTTAGCATTAATGAAGGTCCAGAGATGGATGAGAGCACAGTATTTTGAAGAAACTGGGAGAAATTTAGTATGTCTGGAAAAAAGATGAAGAATCAAGAAATGAAGCTGGAAAAATACACCAGGGCAATATTATAAAGAAACTTGTTTTAAAATTTTTTAGATTTTATTTTTTAATTTAGATTTTTGCTTAAGGGGAAGTAGAAATTTTTTTTCTTTTTTTAATGTTTATTTATTTTTTGAGAGAGGGATAGAACTTGAGTTGGGGAGGGGCAGAGAGAGAGGGAGACACAGAATCTGAAGAGGCTCAAGGCTCTGAGCTGTCAGCACAGAGCCTGATGTGGGGCTCAAACTCACAGACCACAAGATCATATCCTAAGCTGAGGCTGAATGCTTAACCAACTGAGCCACCCAGGCACTCCTTTCTTTTTCTTTTCCTTTTTTTTTTTTTTTAAGTAGGCACTACATCCAATGTGGGGCTTGAACTCACAACCCTGAGATCGAGAGTCAGATACTCTACCAACTGAGCCACCCAGATGCCCCAGAAAGGGAAAAATTTTTTTTAAATTTTTTTTTTCAACGTTTATTTATTTTTGGGTCAGAGAGAGACAGAGCATGAACGGGCGAGGGGCAGAGAGAGAGAGGGAGACACAGAATCGGAAACAGGCTCCAGGCTCTGAGCCATCAGCCCAGAGCCCAACGCGGGGCTCGAACTCACGGACCGTGAGATCGTGACCTGGCTGAAGTCGGACGCTTAACCGACTGCGCCACCCAGGCGCCATTTTTTTTTTTTTTAGAAAGGGAAAATTTTTAAGCAAAACAGTAACACAATAAAATTTACTTGAAAAGAGAGAGAAAGATCACTCTTGGCTTTACAAGGAAGAATGGATTATAGGCAAGAAAACAAGTTAAACAGGAGTTAGTCTGAAGCTAGAGATAATTGACCTGGGAGGAGATAGGTGGCCCTAGAAAACGATAACTATAGTAGTAGAAATGAGGGGAAAATTGATAGATTTTTAGAGTGATTTAGAAGATAGAATGAATAAAACTTAATGAATGATTGGATGTGAGGCATGAATGAGAAGGTTGGAAGTGTTTAAGGCTCCCAACTTTCTGATTTGAGCATCTGGATTGGTGATGATGCCAAATAAAAACGTGGATGGATATATGTGCCTGAAGCTCCCTTAGACATAGTAAGAAAACCAGGTCATATCATTGAAGCCAATTAAAATGTTTCAAGAAGGGTCAGGGGTGCCTGGCTGGCTCAGTCGGTAGAGCCTATAACTCTTGATCACAGGGTTATGAGTTCAGTCAAGCCCCATATTGGGTGTAGAGCCTACTTAAAAAAATGGTTTGGCGCATCTGCCTGGCTCAATGGGTGGGCTGTATGACTCTTGATCTTAGGGTTGTGAGTGTCAGCCCCATATTGGTTGTGGAGGTTACTTAAAAATAAAATTTTTGAAAATGTTTCAAGAAGGGGATGCAGCATTCACATCAGCTTGCTTGAAAATAAAGTTTGTCAGATAACTGTACATTTTACAAACATTAAAATCGTATAAGGAGTGTAACTCTGTGACAGAATTAAGTTTGGTAGCAATATCCAGAAGTGATGGGTGAGTATTTTGGAGAGTTAAATAATTGTGATTAAATGGCTTTGACCATTTAATATATACTGGATGGAATGGAAAGTGAAACAAAAGAAGGAAAGGAAGGACGGAGGGAAAGAGGAAATGTGGGAAAGGAAAGAAGAATGGAGAGAATAGAAGAAAGGGTGAGGGTAGGAAACTCCCTGCTTACATACTTACTTCTGGAAAACATACCTTCCCAGAGAAGGAAGACAATATTCAATCATCTATGCCAGGCATAGCAATTTAATCAGAACCTTCTCAACATTACATTGAAGCAAACACCTTTAACTGACTGGTTTTATGCCACAGGAGACTTTAAAAACTTATTTGCTATCCCTACTTTTGAAACTTTCCTGAAATAATAGAGTATTCACCAAAGTTTAATTATTTATCTTAACATACTCTTTAATTTTTTTTTTTAATTTTTAAAAAATTTTCTAAGTAATCTCTACACCCAACATGGGGCTTGAACTCACAATCCTGAGATCAAGAGTTGCATGTGCTACTAGAGGCAGCTAGGCACCCTGTCTTAACATACGCTTAAAAAGCTGAATCCTAATGGCATTCTCCCAATTACATTCTGTCTTACCATGCTTCTCCTTGCTTCAGCAAATGCCTTCTTTTCTTCCTCTATTCTCCTTCTGGCTTCTTCTTCTGCTTTCTTTTTTTCATCTTCTCTCCTTTGTCTTTCTATTTCTTCAAAGCTGAGTTTGAGTTTACCAGGGCGGTACCCTTTTAAAATTTTTTCTGTGTCTTGGTTTTCCTCCTCTTCATTTACCTAACCAAGAAACAACTCACTAGTAAGAACTGAGATTCATCAAAGACAGGAATGAATGACCTCAAAAGGGACAGAATCAGCCACCTCACACATGAACATTTCCTTACCCTTAATATATTTGACCAAAAATTCCCTTCCTTTATATTGTCTTTTATGATAAAATATTCAAATTTGAGGAAATTCCAGGCAAAGATGTACTCAAGTTAAATAAAAGTTCCCAAGAAAGTCAAATTTTTAAATAGATAAGTGGAGTGTGAAAAAAGTTAAGGGGTCATTTAAAAGTTCTGTTAAATATTAACTCTCCCAGGACAAAACAGAAAATGTGTATGTACTTACTGAGGTTCAAGGTACATCTTTATCTGGAATTTCCTCAAATTTATTATATAACTATTATACATAATTTATATGTTATAATCATTATACATATATATAATGTCATTATATGTAAAAAAATATGTTATAGGAGTACCTGGCTGGCTCAGTTGGTAGAGCATGCTACTCTTGATCTCAGGGTTGTGGGTTCAAGTAGAGATTACTTAAAAATAAAATCTTCAGTGTGGAGGTTCCTCAAAAAATTAAAAATAGACCTACCCTATGACCCAGCAATAGCACTGCTAGGAATTTACCCAAGGGATACAGGAGTACTGATGCATAGGGGCACTTGTACCCCAATGTTTATAGCAGCACTCTCAACAATAGCCAAATTATGGAAAGAGCCTAAATGTCCATCAACTGATGAATGGATAAAGAAATTGTGGTTTATATACACAATGGAGTACGACGTGGCAATGAGAAAGAATGAAATATGGCCCTTTGTAGCAACGTGGATGGAACTGGAGAGTGTTATACTAAGTGAAATAAGCCATACAGAGAAAGACAGATACCATATGTGTTCACTCTTATGTGGATCCTGAGAAACTTAACAGGAACCCATGGGGGAGGGGAAGGAAAAAAAAAAAAAAGAGGTTAGAGTGGGAGAGAGCCAAAGCATAAGAGACTCTTAAAAACTGAGAACAAACTGAGGGTTGATGGGGGGTAGGAGGGAGGGGAGGGTGGGGGATGGGTATTGAGGAGGGCACCTTTTGGGATGAGCACTGGGTGTTGTATGGAAACTAATTTGACAATACACTTCATATATTGAAAAAAAATATTTTAAATATGAAAAAAAATCTTGAAAAATTGTGTGCGTGTGTGTGTGTTACATATATGTTTTACCATTTGCCGCCTTGCTTCTTCAAAAGCACGCTTCTCTTCTTCTAAACGTTGTCGTGCTTCCTCTTCAGCTTGCTTCCTTCGGTTTTCTTGTCTTTGTCTTTCCAATTCTTCAAAAGTTAGTTTCAATTTTCCAGGAGAAATGGAGTCTTTTCTTGCCTCACTTTCTAATTCATCATCCTAAGAAACATTGTGAAAACACAACTGTTAATTATAAAAGGAAATGGTGCTAACCAACTTAGCTGCTTTGATTTGTTCCAATAAATAAATAAATAAATACATACATACATACATACATACATACATACATACATACATAAATTACCATGACCAAGGAAAGACACTTTGCTTCCTTGAGAGATCGCCGTTGTTCTTCATATCTTATTCTTTTATCTTCTTCATACTTGACCCTTTCTTTTTCTTCTCGTTCTTTTTCTAGATCCTCGAAATTCTTTCTTATCTTTCCAGAAGTTTTGTGTGATCTGACAGGTACCACTGTTACAAGTAGTGAATCATCTCCTTCCTAATTTATAAAATAGATAATTAGCATGTTTTTTCCTAACCAAAATTTAGGTTTCACAGGATTTACCTCCATTATTGGTGAATTTTGTTACATGGCCATCAATGTTATGAAGAACAAAAATTTATATATGTATCTATATCTATATCTATATACTTTTTTTTTTTTTTTTTTTACAGATTTCTATTCAATAGCTCTTTCTCTGCACATTGAGTTAATCTTTGAAATCCATGGATGAGAAGGTTCAAGGAGCATCTTCTTTCCTAGAAGGTGATGTTAATACAGCTGTTTGGATAAAACTGCATGACATTATCTGAATTTAACTGTCCATGCACTAGTTCCACAAAAGGTAATGTGCATGTGAGTATACTCTACATCAATTTGATGGTGGATAGATTCAGTTTAAACACACACAGAAAGTCTTTCCATATGATTTTTTCCCATGCAAGTTTTAAAATACTTAACTAATATTTTGTGAGGGAAAACAATATTATATTGTTTTTATAAAACACTTACAGACAAAATACTTATAGACAAAATAAGTATTAAATACTTATAGACAAAACTCACTGGCATTTGGTCTTAGTAAAATATTTTTAAATTTGTTGTTTTTCAAATTCATTTTAATTAGTTCCATTACATAATCTATTGTTACATCTCTCTGAACTTTTTTCAAAAATAAAGTGAATTATAATATGCAACACATGCCGCTAAAACAGAACTGCTTCCACTTTATGTGGCTGTAGTTTTAGGCACACCATCAAATTGACTGATGTTTAACTTTCTCTGTTAGATAAAAAGGGATTAACTAAAATTTCTGTGGTTGTGGAACATTACTTCATGGTGCTATATACTGTACTTTCTACTAGTATGTGATAATAAAAACTGTCAGGAACTCTGAGGAAAGAAGACAAATTATAAAAAAAACCCTGCTTATTGAAAATGTTACCTTTCAATAGTCTCAACTATTATTAACAGTTCAAGAAATACAAAGTCTTGGCAGAGTATTTCAAGCTGAGAGTTGTGTCTCTAACCATGAAAGCAAAAACATACTTTTAAGACACTAAGCTATAATATTTGAGAAAGTGAAAAAGTATGATCTTGCTTTGTAAAATATGTTTGTCCTTTTGTTGTTGCTATAGAAATAAGAATAGAAATGCTTTTAATTTTTTAAAAGACTATTTGTGAGTCAGATAATTTTAGGTGAATGTTTCATTAAAGGAAATGTCCATTTACCTCTGATGCTGATTCAGTTCCCGTATTGTTTATGTCCTCAATCTATTGAATGAGAATTTCATATCATTACATTACATTGAGTTTCTGCTTTTTGTTTTTAAACATACAATTGAAAAGTAATTTAGTTGTGAATTATAGTAAATTTTCAAATGCATAATTTTAAAAATATTTTTATTTTGCTGCAAATTAGTCCTTTTATGTGGAGATTAAACCTTATATTCATTTTTATATTTTGACATCAAAATCAATATATGGGGAATTGTATATTAAGAAAAATTAAGATAAAGCCTACCTTTGTAATTCTATAATGTGAATGGACCAAACAGTTATGACCTGTCTGTAAGCTTACAAGCAGCAATTATTAATTAAATTAGTAACTTAAACTGAGATACAGAAACATTTCTTCATTCTATGTCTCTGCCCTAGCCAAACCTATCATTGGTAATCAAATAATTATGACTATATTTTACAATATAAATACATGGCAGAATATAACTGATACAATAATACAGTGCAGTACACCAGCTTTCACATGGCTAGTTTAGAAGGGAGAATTCTGGTAGATATTATTGTTTATATTTTGACCACATCTAGGAAGGAAAGACCCTCATTCAGTAGAAGGGGTTCTCAATTTGGCTTTACTCGTAAGAAACACCATTAGGTTAGCTTGAGGAGCAGGCTAATGTATGTAACAGATTGAGAAATGAAAAGGAAGACAGGTGATTTAAATAATGCAGTGTTTGAGATGTCAGGAAAAGGAAACATAAGGAATGGTAAAATGAGATAAGTTAGAAAGTAAACATTCAGATTTTATTATTTTAACATTTTTAATGTTAAATTAATTTTTAACATTATTATTTAACATTTTTTAACATTTAACATTATTTAACATTTATTATTTTTAACATCAGTGAAAGAGTCTGGAAGTAGTTTGTTCCTTATACAGTCTAAGAGAATTCTGGCTAAGACCCTATTCATCATTCCATTTCCCTTTTCTATATTCTCTGTCACAGGAGAATTAATACATTTTATTAAGATACCAAATTTTTTTTTTTTAATTTTTTTTTTCAACATTTATTTATTTTTCGGACAGAGAGAGACAGAGCATGAACGGGGGAGGGGCAGAGAGAGAGGGAGACACAGAATTGGAAACAGGCTCCAGGATCTGAGCCATCAGCCCAGAGCCTGACGCGGGGCTCGAACTCACGGACCGCGAGATCATGACCTGGCTGAAGTCGGACGCTTAACCGACTGCGCCACCCAGGCGCCCCTAGATACCAAATTTTTTGAAAAATAAATTCCAAAGAAATAATTTATCTATTTCATATAAATATTTCATATAAATTATTTTATATAAATAAAATATTTTATATAAATATATTTTATATTTTTATATTTTATATAAATTATTTTATATAAATAAATATCTATTTTATATTTTAATATTTGTATTGTTTTGCTTGGAATAATTTGTTTTGCAGACTTACTTACTGTGACTTACTATGCTTTGGGACTTACTGTGTAAATGGTGAAAGTTTTATTGAATGATGAAAAAAATCCTGCTTTTTTTTTTTTTTTTTTAATTTTTTTTTTCAACATTTATTTATTTTTGGGACAGAGAGAGACAGAGCATGAACGGGGGAGGGGCAGAGAGAGAGGGAGACACAGAACTGGAAACAGGCTCCAGGCTCTGAGCCATCAGCCCAGAGCCCGACGCGGGGCTCGAACTCACGGACCGCGAGATGGTGACCTGGCTGAAGTCGGATGCTTAACCGACTGCGCCACCCAGGCGCCCCAAAAAAATCCTGCTTTTTAAAAACATTAGCTAAGAAAAAAATTTATTTTATTAAAAAAAATTGTTTTTAATGTTTGTTTATTTTTGACAGAGACAGAGACAGAGAGAGAGGGAGACACAGAATCCAAAGCAGACTCCAGGTTCTGAGCTGTCAGCACAGAGCCCAATGCGGAGCTCTAACCCACGAACCATGAGATCATGACCTGAGCCACAGTCGGAAGCTCAACCGAGTCACCCAGGCACCCGTCTAAGAAAAACTTATAATAATAATAATATATATATTTATATATATATATAAATATGTATATATATATATATATATATATATATATATATATATATATATAAAATAATTACAAATTTCTTTCCCTTCAGGGGTGCCTGGCTGGCTCTGTTGGAAGAGCATGTGAGTCTTGATCTCAGGGTCATGAGTTTGAGCCCCACACTGGGTGTAGAGATTACTTAAAAATAAACAAACTTAAAAAACTATTTCCCTTCAAAGGAAGGCTAACAATTCCTTCACAAATCACATTTGTCTCTCAATAAAAAGTTCTAAGAGATATGGTAAGAAACCAGACATTGAGAGTACAGGGAAGGTAAATTCTAATTTTTTTTAAGCTTATTTATTTTGAGAGAGGGAGAGAGAGAATCCCAAGCAGGCTCCACACCATCAGCACAGAGCCCAACACGGGGCTGGAACCCACAAAACATTAGATCATGACCTGAGCCGAAATCAAGAGTCAGACCCTTAACCAACCGAGCCACCCAAGGTGCCCCAAATTCTAAATTCCTTAACCCCAAATTTCTTTTACTAGAACCTTCTCAGATTTTTATTAGCTTATGGTAAAATAATAAATTATATTTGGAGTGGCTTTTCTTTGTTTTGTTTTTATATGCTTGCTTCTTTGCTCATTTTAAGCCATTACCAAAACTTTAACAGGAGACAGGATTTTTTTTCCATTGGGTTTCAGCAAAGGAAAAGATGAATTTGTCTAAGTGGCCATGGTGTCAGTACATTCACAGAGAACTGAGATATGCAGTTTTGTTATGGTGTTTGCTGTCAGAAGCTACCACTGAAGAGCTGTTTCCCAACTATTTCTTTTGATTATGAAAAGGAAACTCCTTTTGCTCCTTCCCAAAGCAACTTCCTTTTCTCCCCTTTCTTTTCCTTTTTTTAAGTTTTATTTATTTATTTTTTTGAGAGTGAGAGCGTGCACACGAGAGAGAGAGCACAAGTAGAAGAGGGGCAGAGAGAGAGGATCCCGAGTAGGCTCTGCACCATCAGCACAGAGCTGGATGCAGGGCTCAAACTCATGAACCGTGAGATCATAACCTGAGCCAAAAACCAAGAGTCAGACACTTAACCGCCTGAGCCACCCAGGCACCACTCCCTTTATTTTCAACATCACAGTCCCCTATCAACAATTTCTCTTTTTCTAAATTGATAGATGTTAACCTTGCCCATCAGGATATCCTCAAAGATAACCAGATTATACTAAATTAAGGGGTACCTGGGTGGCTCAGTCAGTTAAGCATCTGATTTCGGCTCAGGTCATAAGTTCAAGCCTCACATAGGGCTCTCTGCTGTCAGCACAAGGCCCGCTTCAGATCCTCTGCCCCTCTTTATCTGCCCCTCCCCTGTGTATGTGCTCTCCCTCTGTCTCTCCCTCAAAACAAAGAAAAAAAATTTTTTTAAGATTCTCCCCCAAATTTTACTGGTCTTTCGTTCTAACATCCAGTATACAAAGTATACTCATTTTTAATTCATCATAAGATCCTAGAATCTGGTAGTTCTCCTGACTCAAGAATCCCTTCTAAAGCAGTCTTGAATATGGACTTGTACAAGTGGATTTTTCAAATTAACATTGACTTTTTTTCCTTAGTAAACTCTACCCCCAAAGTGGGCCTTGAACTCACGACCTCAAGATCAAGAGTCTCATGCTCCACCAACTGAGCCAGCCAGGTGCCCCAACATTAAGACTTTTCTTGGGGCACCTGGGAGGCTCAGTTGGTTAAGCATCTGACTCGATCTCAGATCAGGTTTTGATCTCAAAGTTGTTAGTTCAAGCCCTGTATTGGGCTCCACACTGAGTGTGGAGCCTACTAAAAAACAAAAACAAATTTTTCTTGATTACCTATGTCATACTTCTTATATTCAAAGACAGATTCACTTTTATTAGATTTGAGCAGAAAATGTACTTAATTTTTAAAATTGGACTTTCCATATTTGAAAGATAAAATTACTATTAATAGTTTATTTTGCTCTACCTACGTATTCTCAAATAATGTAATGGATCAAAATTTTCATTAATCAGGATTCTATGGCACCCTGCCATGTAGTTTCTGGAGTTACTAAAAGAAGTGGTTCTTTTTCATGATACTTTGTCTCCCTCTCTGAGTATCCCACGTCTTCATCATATTCAAACACACCTCCTTCAACGTACACGTCATTTTTCTTTGAGAAACCACTGTATATTCAGTTCTTGGGGTTGTAGTGGGTCTTAAAGTCTAGTGAGTAATCAGTGCTTTTTTGAAAAAGTTGATAAGACTTAATATAAGCAGACTAAACCCATGTAGAGTACTTGCTGCCAAACACCATATATTTTAATTACATATTTTATTACCATATTTTATAATTTATATTGTAAATATAACTACATATACTGACATATTTTATATTTGACAATGCATAATCTATAATACTCACTTATATTTATATTCCTGGGTGAACTTACACTGCAAAATGAATTCTCATCTTTGATGACTGGAGATGTCAGAGGTAAAGTACATACCATCCTTTCTTTAGATAAAGACGTACAAAGTAATAAAATATAGGAAATTCCAATTCTTTTCTATAATTCATCTGGCATTATGTCATTATTTGCCACTATACAAGTGGTTATTTGTGCCACAGAAGTGTCTATTTGCAAAGTCTGGGTAAATACATTTTTTTGACATGCAAACATGGCATATGCTTTGCCTTCTTTGTCATTTTTCTTTTTAGAAAAGTAGGAAACTGGAAGGAGCATAGCAAACAGATTTAAAGCACTTAAAGAGTAGACAAAAAAGAGCCAAGTACAATTTCACAATAAAAATAGTTTTGTACTTATGAAGACTATGTTAATATATTTGTTAACATACTGATGAGAGAAGAAAGAGGAGCTAAAATGGTTTCATGACACTTAGGTGAAACATTTATAGTCTACTTACGTGTACCAGGCACTGTTCTAAGTGCTTTGCATTTATTAACTCATATAATATTATTAACAACTCTAAGATAAATGCCATCTCATTAAACTCAATACACTGATCATCTCTTTTGATCTTATAATGTAGACTAGGTTAAGTTCATAAACAATATAATAACGGTCATCAAGTCTATGACTAGGCATAATTTATAATGTAAAACAAGTATCAGTGCATTAATTTTTGTGAGCTGATCAATTCTTTACTTAATAAAAGTATGACTATTGATCAAGTTTCTATGTCATTATAATCATTAATCACTTTGAGACATTAGCTTTTTCTGGAAATTAGATCATATTCTTGAGTATTTTAAAAATACTTACTAGCCTCTAAGTTCTCATGCTCT